TGATTTTTTGAATTGGGCTACCTTTGTGGGTGTTAGGTGGTACCTCATTGTTGTTTTAATTTGCATTTCTCTTATTGCTAAAGATCGGGAACATTTTCTCATATGTTTGTTGGCCATTCGTGTATCCATTCTTTAAGACCCATTTTACTCAATAATTTGAAGCAATTTCTTTGGGACAAGTTTAAAATGGAGATGTGTGGGGATTTAATGGGACTAGATTAGGAGTCCTGGTCGGAATCTCATGGGCAGTGCTGCCCTGTCATAAGGGTTGCTAAGAGTCGACATGCTTGATGGCAGTGAGTTTTGGTTTAGTTTTTCGGTATCCTGGATTATTGACTTCTAATACAAAAGGCTTTAATTGCAGGGTTGGGGGTGGCGGTGCTACGAGTAATCCTGTCCCAAATTAAATAGTGGAAGGCCAAATAAGTTTGGGAATCTGACTTAGACCTGAGTTAAAGGTTAAATATCCATGTCCCGAGTAGCTCAGCTCAATTTCTTCATTTGGAAGGTGGAGAGAGATTTGGGGCCAAACTTCCAGCTGACAAATTGTCAGTGTGGGACAGTAACATCTACAGCAAAATGTCCACTGAGCAGCATGTATGCCCAACAATAGTAAGCACTATTTTGTTTAAATAGATCTTCACCACAGTCCATTAAGGAAGGTATATGAGTCTGAATCACTTTGGGGGCAGTGGGCGGTTTTATTTTTAGTATTTATTGTAGATTGTAGGACATTGGAGCTTAGGTTTAGAACAACCTGCTCGAGTTTGCATAGGAATGAGGGGTAGAGAAGATAAAGGACTTGGAGGAGACCGGTGGGTGTGATTGCGACTCAGTTTCTCCTTTACCTGCTCTTTTTGCCTAACTACACACCTCTTCACGCATTTCTCACTGTTGGAACAGAGCGCCCTGGTTCTGCGGCACCATTGTGCTTCCCTGTCAGCTTGCCATTAAGGCTACAAACCTTAAGTTTTCATATTTAATAACCTGGGTGCTTTATATGATGTGCAGTAGAATTAAACACTAGAAACCTGGTTTAATCCATTTCTTCTGGCTTTCAGCCACCGTTGTTGATTACCATTTCCCACTTGATCCAACCTATGGTATCTTCGATCATTTCACATGCATATGAAAGCTAGACTGTGAATTCTGGTACTGGTGAGGAATATTGAGAGTACTAACGACTGGCAGAAGAACAAATTCGGTGTGAGGATGGAGAGATTCCATCCCTGTACTTTTGGGGCATGTTAACTGGAGACACCAGTTTCTGGAAAAGGACACGATGCTTAGTAAAGTAGGTCAGCGAAGAAGAGCAGGACCCTGGCGGTGGATGGACAGAGGA